GTATAATTATGTTGAACCTTCAAAAGATATGTATGACTTTATGATAGGAGTGATGATTTAAATTAATATTTGGCCAATGCAAAAAAAAAAAAAAGGAATTTGGAGAAGAAAAAAAAAAAGAGAGAAACTGAGGCTTATCGTCACTCTTGTATTCTTGTCCAATCAGGCAGGTCTGCTCATGCCTGGTGTTTTTGTGTTGAGGGAGCAGATGGGTGTGTCTATCAGATCCACGCTGTATTTGCTGTGTGCACTCGTTTGTTGGAAGAGGTGTGGTTATTTGGTAAAGTGACTAATATAACTGAAAAATTCATGCATGACGGATGTGTTCTAGTTTTCTGTTTGGTCAAATGATGGCAGACGATGTTTTGTTAGGTGTGTCAGTATCGTTCTGCTGTTGACTTCAACTATTTCATGGTTGACTTGATTTTTAAAAAAATGGAAGTCACATGTTAGCAGGTCTTCTGCATAAATAGGTGTTTGAACTATCCTATACAACACTGTATAAATCTTAATGTATTCATTATTGAGTATGTGTGTCGATGCGGGGGCGCCTATGCATTTATTTGTCTATTAGCAAAATATTTTATAAACTAGAAAAGCRATTTTAATGAAACTTTCAGAAATGATTTATTGGATTTTCACCTACAACTGATGAACTTTAAGCATCAACCTGATTCAAAATGTCCACCACAGCTACAGTACCTGACCTCAGCACAACCAATTAAAACAAAATGGTGTAACTCATTCAGTTGTGCAGGTATTGGGCTAATATTTGGTGTGGTAGGTAGATGAGAGTCATCCTTAACTAATCTTGTGCAATCATACATGAGGCTGTTTAAAAAAATGATTCAAAGGCTAAAATATGATCATTTTTGAAATTTATTTAGCTAAAATTTAGTTTAATTTTATCTGTACTGACTGAAAGATGAAAAATTAAATAAAACACAAGTAAAAACGTCTTGTTCTGTTTGTCGCCTCTTTCTCTGCAGAGCACGGAGCAGGTTACSGCTTTTTGCCGCAGTCTTCACGACATGAATTCTCCCGATTGTCCCATGTCGTCCTCTTCGTCGTCCTCTTCGTCRTCTCTGTCGCAGAGTCCTGTGTCGGCTTTGCCTTCGACGGCAGGCGCTGGGACTCAAAGACAGCTCTCAGATGCAGACAAACTGCGCAAGGTCATCAGTGAGTTAGTGGAAACAGAGAAGACTTATGTAAAAGTAAGTGCTCTTTATTAATTTTTTCATTTTAAGAAACCAGTCTATCTTCTTGCTCGCATATTTTCGCATCTCTTTGGCCATACTGTAATTCCTGACATAACATTTTCGTTACCTTATTAACATACTTGATCTCAAAACTGCCTCATTAAACACCTTCACACGCCTTCCTTCAGCCMTGTTCAGGAAGCAATCATAATCATAATTCTCATCTTTTTCAGGACCTGCGCTGTCTAATCGAGCGCTACTTGACACCTTTACAGAAAGAGAGCTTCCTTACACAAGATGAGGTAGGATTTGTCTGATTTGTGCATAACAAGAATGGAAAAAGGGTTTAAAAGTTTGAAAATTCTCACAAAAACTGACCTATTAACAAAATACACCAGAGCAAACTCATCAAACAAATAGAATAAAACAAATTTTTTTATTCCGTATAAGTAAAAGACTGTAGCAAGCAGGCCTCAAAGGCCTCAAGGGAAAGATCAGCCACCGTCACACTGAAGCTAAGGTTTATAATAAATTAGAAACTTGGGATAACTTTAAATCAAACAAGAAAATCTTTGTTACTTTTCTTGCGTTTATCATCAAAATATTTAACCCTAAAACCTAATTCTTTGTGAAAAGCAGGCTTGTGGTGGTATTAAAGGTTTGGGCTGGGTGGTTGAAGTATTGTGAATTTGTGCTCTGGCCTCTCAGCAAGATCTTAAATTGAAATGAAATTAACGCAAAGGAAGATTTCTCGATTAAATCAGCAAATTCTAAATTAAAATAAAACTGCACAAAATATTGACCCATTGACTAAATTGTAACAAAACAAAAACTATTTAATATTTTAATGCTGTAGTTTTTTTTAGTAAGGAAAACAATAAGCATAATATTCTCATTAAATTAGATCCATTTTATTCACGTTTCTAAAAACGAATACTAATTCTTAAGGGTTCCAAACTTTTAAAGCACAACTTTACAGAACATGTTTAATGTTAATTAAAGTTGCGGTAAAACCCAAATGATAATCTGYATGTTTGCAGCTGGACGATTTGTTYGGAAACCTCGGAGAGATGGTGGAGTTTCAGGTGGAGTTCCTGCGGACGCTGGAAGATGGWATCAGACTGGTGCCTGATCTGGACAGACTGGAGAGGGTTGAACAGTTTAAGGTTGGGATTTCTTCACTTTATGGTATCACTTTGTTGTATTYCTAAATGTTGCTCCATTTGGTGTTTCACTCAAAGTACAGCTGATTCTGGAATCATGCAGGCTTTATTTATAAATGGGACTACATTTATCTAAACTAAGCTGTACAAGTTTCTATTTCTCTACGAGAGCTGGTTAATCAAAATAAAATAAAAAGGAGTGATTTCATAGAGTTACTTCCATTTACTGATGCATGATTTGTCTGTTTCCACAGAAGGTGCTGTTCTCTTTGGGTGGTTCATTCCTCTATTATGCTGATCGCTTTAAGATCTACAGTGCTTTCTGCGCCAGCCACACCAAAGTCCCAAAGGTCCTGGCTAAAGGTAAATACGGGCAGACACTTGAAAGTGCTAAGTCACAAGGTTCTATTAAATTATACCTCATCTGTAAATGTTAATGCAGGGGGAAATTGAGTTTTTGTTTTGCATTAAATCCACGTTCCTSTTTTCTCCAGCTAAAACTGATCCAGATTTCAAAGCTTTCCTGGCTGAGAGAAACCCCAGACAGCAACATTCATCCACTCTGGAGTCTTACCTGATCAAACCCATCCAGAGAGTCTTAAAGTACCCTCTCCTGCTGAAGGAGCTCTACTACCTCACTGACCCCGACAGCGAAGAACACTACCACCTGGATGGTACACTGCTGACTATTTTTACCACCCTTTAACACTGTGAAATGATTTAGAGTCATCTACGCTCGTCACCACGGGAGCAGTAATCCRTTCCGACACGACTAATGACTGATTGTCTCCTTCAGTTGCAATGAAGGCCATGAACAAAGTTGCCAGTCACATCAATGAGATGCAGAAGCTTCACGAGGAGTACGGCACTGYGTTCGACCAGCTCATCAGTGAACAGACTTCAGATAAAAAACAGGTAACACACATTTAGGTTGAGGTTTTCTAACTTGGACACAACAAAATATTAACATTAGCAACTTGAACAATATGTTTTTTTTAATCTCAGGTTCTTGACCTCTCGATGGGGGACCTTCTGTTGCATTCGACCGTAGTGTGGATGAACCCTCCAGGCTTTTTGGTCAAAAGCAAAAAGGATGTTGAATTAGCAGCTTTTGGTAAGTTGATCAGGAATTGTGGATGTGATGTATTATAATTCTGTATATATATTTAGACAAAATACATTTGAATTTTCTTTCATTTGGGAGTATTTAAACTTATCCTAAAGAACATTTCTTTTGTGTGTTTGAATATTTGTTTTTTTTAAGAGAATAACTGAATACAGGGCCAGCTCGTGGCATAGACAGTATAGGCCAATGCTAAGGGCACCATCTATTTAGAGGACACCACAAATGGGTTACAAAATAAATAAATAAATATAAACATTTTATTAGAGTATAGCTGATTTACTGGTACTCAGTGTGTAAACAAAAACAAAATAAGGATTATGGAAGTTTCAGACGAAGTCAAAGTTTGGCTTTCAGTGTTCTACCTTCATAAAACACTGATTTTATATTGTTTATTTTAATCCCAAGAATTTTGTAAAAAGTTCTTCAAATGGCTGGAAAATGCATAGTTTTGAGTACAAAATGTACAAGATTTTTTGGGGGAGTACACCCCTGGATCCCCCTAGAACTACTTCACTCCACAGCTGCTGGTTAACACGAACAGGTGTTCCTCATTGTTGTCAGCAGATGTTGGCAGGTATGAGGTAGACTTCCAGTTTTATATTTAAAATGACTATTTTAATTGGACAACCTGGTTTCTAAAGATGAAAAATAATATCAAAGACAAAACTATTTAATTTTGTAAATGTAAACTGACAGTGAGATTTAGAAATTTTCTCAAGGGGCTCCACCTAAAATCTTTCAAATTGGGCGCCAAATTGGTTAGGGCTGGCCCCGAATGAAAATAACTAATATATAATTCTCAGTACTTGCAGATGCATGACATTATAGTTTATATTAGATTACATACATTTTACTCACCTTACTCTTACTTTTAATAATAAATATTAAACATGCATGTGATGGTGCATAGTGATGATTGCTTTTCCACTTGATGTTATTGTTTTGATCCATTTGAACAGCTTTAGTGGCTTTTGGCTATTTGAATTTTTTTCTAACTTTATCTTAAAATACCCATTAACATCCCAAATCAAATTGTCATGGTAATATATTAGGTAATAAAATCTGCATTGGTTTATTTTGTGAATGCAGACCCTTACCTCATTTCATGTTTTTAAATTTCTTCCAGTTTTCAAAACAGCTGTTGTGTTTGTGCACAAGGGTGGCTCAAAGCACAGGAAGAAAATTGTAAGTATTTTTATTAAGCTTTTAGACACAATGTTAGTAGATGGAATTATTGTAATAAGTCTTTGGTTTTAAGACTCTAAAAGTTTGAATACTTGACCTGATTGGTCCTAAAAAATCCTTCTGTGAATCAGATTTATGATTTATTTGAATTTTGTTTGTATTCATGCGTTCAACAAGTATTTTAAAAGTTTTGTAAATGTTGATTTTTTTTTCTAAAAATGCTTATATTCTAAAAATAAAGTCATAAATTATTTTTGGTGCATTTATAACGCATCACAACAGATGTGTGTGTTAATCAGGGTCTGTTCCTACACCCTTGTGTTCTCTGCTGCCCGGTTGGTGAGCTGCAGTTGTTTGCTAAACAAGTACTGAATCAAATTTTCTGTTTTTTTTTTTTTTTTAGGGGGGAACTCATCGCTCTCACTCCACCGTGTGTGATGACAGAGATTCTTTCCGCTTCCGTCACATGATCGCAACAGAATCTCTGCAAGTCCACACCTTACCAAGTAGGTCTACACCTGAGTTTTACTACACCCAACATCCCACAAATGCACTTTTTAAATGGGTTTATTATTTTTTTCTGAAGTAAAATTATTACAGTGAAAAATAACTTTTCCTAAAAAGATCCTTAAGGGTATTGACAGTCTTATTGGTTTCCATGCAAATAGTCAATATTGCATGTGAAAAAACAAGACACTGTTGCAATGTTTAAACTGAGAAAAGTGGTACCTGCATGACATTTTACAGTTTTGGAGCAGATTTAATCTCCAAACGACAGACATAAGCTGATCACAATATTCTTTGTATAGTACTGTGCACTAGTTTTTGGTTAAAAAATGGTAAATGGCTTTAACTATTTATTATAGCACTTTATCAAATCCCTATGCTCTCCAAAGTGTTTTCTGTTCGCAAGGCAAGGTGAGTGAAGTGTCTTGCTTAAGGACACGACGACTGAGACAGATGGAACTGGAATTTAACCARCAACCCACTGCTACAGGACCACTCTACCACAGTCACCCTGGTTTACTGTGAAATTAAAAAAAATGTTTTTTTAACCAAAGCTTTGAGAATTGTGATTGAAGAAATTATGTTACTTTTTAAACATATTGACTAATACTAATACTAAATACTAAATACTAATGGAATACCTAAAGAAGTTTAGATCAGTAATAACTACTCCTCTTTTCTCAGACTCTGAAGTCACAGCAGTTTGTGAAATAGTCCACACAAGGTCTGAATCTGAAGGAAGACCAGAGAGAACCTTCCAGTTATGCTGCAGGTACAGTATATCCTTTCCCCCCCCCCAAAAAAACTAGAGATCCTTCACTTGCAAATTACCTCAATACTTTTTCTTCTTTGGCATGATTTGCAGCTCTCCAGACAGCAAAAAAGACTTGCTGAAAGCAGTCCACTCCATCCTTAGGGACAAGCAACGCCGCCAACTTCTCAAGACRGAGTCCTTGCCTGCCACCCAGCAGTACGTCCCATTTGGTGGCAAACGGCTTCGCGCCCTTAAAGGTGCTCGACCTGCCATGAACAGAGCAGGTAAATCAGTTTATTTGTCTAGCAAAGGTTTCACTAGACTTTTTTTGCTTCCTCTCATTTTATTTTCATTCATTTTTATTAATATTTAGTCCGAGCAAAATGAACAGATAAGCCGTCACCCAGATGCACACGGAACTTTTTCTGTACAGTTGCAAAAAACACTAAGTGTGGTCCTAATAACTATAAACAATGAAATTAAATGATTGCATTTAAAATTATGAACATATCACCTAACYTTGCTGCCGTTTGCTCACTCTGTTGCTGCCAAGGCCTGATTACTTGTTTGTCCCTCATCTCTCACTGCATAGATCCCTCTTTTTTTCACCTCTTTTATCACCATCGTCATTATTGGGTTTTTTGAAGAAACTTCAGACACTCGGCTGTTGCAACATTTTTCCGAGCAAAGCAAATGAGGTCATGCATCAAGTGAGAAAACAGATAATCAATATGCTAACTCGCCACCAGGTGGTCAGGGATGTTAACTGCAATCTGTGAAAATGGGGGGTCTTCAGATTTTTCTGTCACCTCTTAAAAAAACTGGTCAAATGGGAAATATTTCTATTAACCCTTGTTCAGTTCAGTTCAGTTCAGTTCAGTTTCAATTTTATTCATTTCATTAAAACAAAACAATTTTATATATAATATACAATAAAAAACACATAAAAAATGAAAGAAACAATAATATATGTATATCAAAATCACAAATAAAATGAAATGAAAGGCAGCAGAAAGAAGAAAAAAATCTTATAATATCTGCCCCTTTTTTTCTAGAATAAGTTCATGTAGAAAGATCTGTTATTAACAAAACAAAAGACAAGAACATCAAATCCCTCTAGAACAACAATTCATATAGATAAACCTTATACTGTTTCATATTTCTTTAGCAATCCAACTTTTATCMTTTTCTTAAATGTACATAATGATCCTGTGTTTTTTATATCACTCACTTGTCTAGTAAAAAAATACTCTGAAGACACAAAAACCTTACAACTTTCTTTCTTTTGCTCTTGTCTTGCTCAGCAACCGCTCCATTCCGAACCCTGGCTCACAGAAAACTGGTGAGGAACCGCATCACCATTGATACCGACCTAGTTTTCCACGGCGACAACAACAACAGCTRCAGCGACACCAACCCCTCCCAGCACACATCGTATTCTTCCTCCAGCTCGCCCCTCTTCCATCGTGAAGCCCATAAACCTCAAGGAGAGGACACGGACCGCTGGGTGGAGGAGCAGTTCAACCTGGGCTGTTATGAAGACCAATGCGACGGAGCTGACGTGAAGCAGGTGAAGGAGACGGACATCTTGAGCGACGACGACGAGTACTGCAAGTCTGTTCGTTCCGTGGTGCTGGAACCGGACCCCCTGGAGGAGAAGATGGGAGGCCTGAACCTGCAGAGCAGAGTGGTGAACGGACAGGTAGAGACGAGGAGTGAGATTGACTCTGGTTCTTCAGATTCTTGCACTCCCTGTAGCCTTTCGGCCTCTCGAACTTCCACTGCGAAGCTTGTCCCTTTAAAGCAATGTGCCGTGGAGGGGGCCACAGACCAGGACCACAATGTAATCTGGGTGCGACGAGATGACTTCAACAGCAGATGTAACAGTGACGTCTTCTGACGGGATGTCGTGGAAGATAAAATGAAGAGAGGCAGGAAAAAAATGTGGCGTCTTCCAGATTTCAAATCAAACAAATTTGGGGGAAAATTGGATACAAGCTTTAAAATAATGTGTAAAKTTCTTTTTAACAGTAACAACAACCTGACGACTCCCCCTGTTTTTGACAATCCTAAAGTCCTGCAACTCCCAGTGGGTTAAAAAAAACACATCCTCTGCTTCATCTTCTAAACTCGAGATTCTCAGCCAGAGCTGCTTTCTTTAAAAGAGAGGGCTTTCTTGCTTTAACCACGAGCATTTCAGTGACGACAGCACTGCATGTAAATGAACACGCATGTGTGTGCGTTTATAGTACACAGACACAGCTACTGTCCAAGACACGAGAAACATCATCACCAAATCTCTGGCCTAAATGTTTATTTTTCAACACAGGAATAATGTGGGTGTTATATTTTTCWGACTTTGCTGCTTTTTGTAGTATTTTAACACTCAAGGGCTGTGAGTTATGGAAATTCTCTTCAGGGGCTTGTGGCTTAATGACAGCTGTGATAAAGACGGTGACATTTAACTAGCTTTATTGTGCTTCTTTTTTTACTGTTTTAACTTAAAAACCATAGTTGATTTCTTCTAAAGTGGGGTTCTGTGAGAAGATCTGGAGCAATTTATGTCTTGCCTGTTGTGGATAGCTTTATGAATGGCTTCATTTTGTAGAAATGGTTTAATTTTGACCATACGGATGACCTAATGGTTTGAGGCCAAGACCAAAGCAGATTGTTGCCATTTTTTAGTGCCTGTGTCATTCATTTCCAATACAAAAACATCTTTATATTTAAGAAACTTGACACAATACACACAATTTTACCCATTTTATCACATAACTGGCATATTTTCTTTTGAACTTGGTTCAGCCAAAGAGAAACAGGAAGTGACATCAAAGGAAAGGAACTACCAGGTCTTTGTTTCTTGAAACAATTATTATTTAAAATCATCTCTCTCTGATAGTGACTCAAAATAATCTAAATAGACACCAGATTCTTCTCTRCAGCCATTGTAGCAATGCTCTGTTCACATGCAGACATTCCCCTTTGACATCACTTCCTGTTACTTTGCATGCAAATATCTCAACAACTMTTCATCTCAGCAGTGTGAWTTTTTCCATTTTGTTTTTCCAATAYGTTTTCAATGTTWTCCTCCCARAAATRMATTWATATTCATTGCAAAATTTTAACGGCATGCGGCTCRGGTGGTCGCTGAGGCAAAAAYCYGGRCGTGGGAGGAGTTTGGAGAGGCCATGGAGAAAGACTTCCGCACGGCTTCGAGGCRATTCTGGTCCACCATCCGKCRCCTCAGGAGGGGGAAGCAGTGCAGCACCAACACTGTTTATRGTGGRGATGGTGTGCTGCTGACCTCAACTCGGGACGTTGTGGGCTGGTGGGTGGAATACTTCGAAGACCTCMTCAATCCCACCAACATGCCTTCTGTTGAGGAAGCTGAGCCTGAGGACTTTGGGTTGGGCTCTCCAATCTCTGGGGGCGAGGTCGCCGAGGTGGTTAAAAAGCTCCTCGGTGGCAGGGCCCCGGGGGTGGATGAGATCTGCCTGGAGTTCCTTAAGGCTCTGGATGTTGTAGGGTTGTGTTGGCTCACGCGACTCTGCAATATCGCATGGACATCGGGGGCAGTCCCCCTGGATGTTTAAAAATGGGGACCGGAGGGTGTGCTCCAATTACAGGTTGGGTCACACTCTTAAGCCTCCCTGGTAAGGTCTATTTGGGGGTCCTGGAGAAGAGGGTCCGTCGGATAGTCAAACCTCGGATTCAGGAAGAGCAGTGTGGTTTTCGTCCTGGGCGTGGAACAGTGGACCAGCTCTACACCCTCAGCAGGGTCCTAGAGGGTGCATGGGAGTTCGCCCAACTGGTCTACATGTGTTTTGTGGTCTTGGAGAAGGCGTTCGACCGTGTCCCAAGGGGGGCCTTGTGGGGGTTTCTCTGGGAGTATGGGGTACCGGGCCATTTGATACGGGCTGTCAGGT